GCTGGGCTGGGAGAGGGGTGGGGGATGGGCCTGGCCTGGCTGATTCAGAGATTCGGAGATTTGGTAGCAGCCAAATCTCCAAATCAGATTCGGCCAAATCGAATCAGGACAGTGATTCGAATCACCAGATCGAATCACTGTCCCCCGAATTGGCTGAATCCGAATCCAAAGCGAATACTAGCCGCTTCGCACAGGCCAAACGTCTACACTAGGAGTTAGCATTGCCATGTCTCACATCAGCATAGTTACTCCCATGGAGACCACAGCTCAGATACTCTGCAATCCCCAATTTCTTTGCTATTGAGCCCCTGGAAAGTTTTGTTTCATTCTGCAGCAAGACCCTCACTACCTAAGTGTGCCCCTACCAGAGCTCTCTCCTGATCTCTCAGAGACATTTAGATGGGATGGGAAACAGTGTTATCACTGCTACACCCTCTCAGTTCTGCACCAGGCTCTGGGCAGGAAGCAGTGCCATGCTGGATCTCAGGACTTTGAGTCAAATTAAGCCATCTATTACACTGGAGTAAACACCAAACAATTGCTCCAGGGTAACTCAGTGCTCCATGACTGCAGTGCTGTAATGGGCAGAGCAATCATGAGACACCCTTTACTGAGGGCCACTGATAGGGAGGATGAGCATAACTCATTTTCCAGGGCTGGGAACCTCAGACATCAAACAGGAAGGGGCCCACACTGCCATCTCATACCCAGCCTCTCCGAGATGTCTGCTGCACGCTCGCCCCAGATGCCATTCACTGCCACCAGCACCACATCTCCTCTCTCCACTGCATTCATGAGCGCAGCCTCCATGGCACAGTGGCCGGAGCCACTGATGGCCAGGGTCAGCGGGTTCTGGGTCTGGAAAGCATACTGGATCCCCAGCTTGATCTCGTCCATGATCTGAAAAGCAGAGGCACAAGACAGGGAGTAAAGCCCATGGCCTGTGACTCATGGTGTCACAGCATTAAAATCAGTGCCCCCCAAGAAGGTGACAAAGGAAGAAAACAGCCTTTGTGAAGGAGCTGCTAACAGCCTCCTATGTGCAGCAATTCTCTTCCAGATGGAGGAAGTAGCTGGTATTGCCCATGGAGTGTGAGCCAGCCTTGCACATTCACTGCTTTCAGTAAAGATGGATATGGGTTGCCCGGCAGCTCTATGATTTACTACACAGGGTTCTGAGTCATAGTTTCATAGTATCACAGTACTTAGGGTTGGAAGGGACCTAAACTTATCATCAGGTCCGACCCCCTGCCCTAGGCAGGAACAAGCGCGGGGTCATAACACCCCAGCCAAATATCTGTCCAGCCTCTTCTTGAAGACCCCCAAGGTAAGAGAGAGCACCACCTCCCTTGTGAGCCCATTCCAGAGCCTGGCAGCCCTAACTGTAAAGTAATGTCTCCTGATGTCCAGCCTGAACCTTCTCTCTAACGATTTGTGGCCGTTATTCCTAGTAACCCTGGGTGGTCCCCGGGGGAACAGAGCCTCATCCGACCTGCCGCCCCTTGACCATGTGAGTGGACCTCCTCTGGACCCTCTCAAGGTTAGCCACATCCCTCTTGAAGTGTGGCACCCAGAACTGGATGCACTACTCCAACTGCGGCCTGACCAACACCGCATAGAGGGGAAGGATCACCTCCCTGGACCTGCTTGTGATGCATCTATAGATGCACAACAAGGTGTGGTTAGCCTTACTGACCGCTTCCTTACATTGGCGGCTCATGTTCATCCTGGAGTCAACAATGACTCCAAGATCCCTTCTGCCACTGTGTTGACAAGAAGGGTGTTCCCAGCCTATAGGTGTGTTGCTGGTTCCTTCTCTCTAGATGCAGCACCTTGCACTTGTCTGCGCTGAATTCCATCCTATTCTCATCCGCCCACCTCTGTAACCTGTCTAGATCTGGCACTGGAGTCATTTAACTCCCTTTGATAAACCTTCCAACTACCAGATTCTTACTCCTCCTGATAGAAAAGAGTCTTACCAAACAGAACACTGGTATTTAACCCCTTCCCTGCTATGGTTGGGGCACTGCTGACCTGAAGTCTATATGTATTGTATTTGACAAGCCCCAGCCCCAAAGGCAAACGGAGCCTCTAGTCCAACAGCCAACCCCTCTGCAGCTGAATGCCCAACCTTGCTGCCACTGGTCACAAGAGACAGAGAGAGGCATGGAATCACAGAGACAAAGGGCTTGGAGGACCTCGAAGGGGCCTCTGTCCAAGTCCCCTGTACAGAGGCAGGATCTAGCACAACTAGCCTCCAACAGATGGTTAACTCATCCTTAAAAACCTCCCATGACAGAGGAACACACCACTCCTCTTTTGGGAGCCTGTTACGAGGCACAGGCCAGGAGAAATAAGACCATAGAGCTGCACTGGACTTGTTTACATTTACTTTGATAAGGCAGCTCTCTTGGGCTGTAGGCTGCATTTCCAACTCAGGACACTCCATGCTCTAAATTTGTTAAGAACTAGGACATGAAACCAGGACTGGGGGTGGAGGGTGTGGAGGAAAGGGAGGAGGAGAAGATCAGTGGACATGGAAGAGTGAAATTAAATCCAGTTAAAAGGTTAAACTGGTGCTTGAGGAGAGGGAGAGGCAAAGAAGGAGAGAAGATGCTGCTGGTGGGAAGGGCTAAGTTGGGTAGGGATCACTGGGAGACTGTATCTATGAGGGGCTCACCTATGGTCCTTACCTGGAACATTTCCTTGTGGACGTGTCCAATAAGCTGGCGACCACCTGCAGCCAAGATCCGCGGAGGGATGTTTGAGGGCCCAGGCCCTAGAAGCAGCCTGTCTGGAACGGCCAGGGGCTGCTGCAGCACTGTTGGGGGGGGCACCCACAGATTTGGCCCAGACATGGCCCTGTGACATGGAAAGGAGAGCGGAGGCAGCCGCGGGGAAGACCAAGCTGCTGCCCTCAGCACGAGAGAGGCGCTGCCCATCACCGCTCTGCGCATATCCCACAAGAGGCTCTTTGGAGCAGCGATAACAGGATGAACCTTAGCCCTGACTACCCCACACGGCTCTACACCTCCCCTTTTCCCTGGCAGTGGTGGCTCAAAGCAGGCTGTGCTGACCTTCCCCTGGCAGGCTGTGTTGACCTTCTGTGTCCTGTCAGCAGGAGACTGAGTCTGAAACTACAGAGCCCAGCCACTACCCAGGTCCCTGATGTTCCCTATTCCTTTTTTCTACACTGCTCCTCCCACAGAGAAAACTATCTTCTAAAATAGCACCCTCCCCTACCAACCCATCTGGCTGTGAACTCTGCACCTGGCCAGAGCTGGCACATGAAGGACTGCTGTTAATGTGCCACTAGCTGCCTTACTGATTCTTGCTTTCACCACAGTTTCCCAATGAGAAAAAGAGCCCCTGTGTTTGCTTAAGCTGTGGTGTCGGGGCAGCTTTCCCCATGGCTTTGTGAGATAAAGAGCCACAACAAGACTGCCAGACTGACCTACACCGGATTGGGCCCAGATCCCAAACAGGAGGCGGAAGCCCGCCACAGCACGGAGGCAGAATTAAGGCACCTGAGCTCCTTCTTGGGTAGGGTGACCACCAGTTTCTAATTGGGAGGGATAGTCCCAAAATGGGATCATCAAATCCCAGGTCTGGGCTGCATGACTCCAGGACAGCATTTGTCCCAGATTTGCAGCATGATGCAGGGATCCAGGTTTCCTTTTGCAGGCAGGCAATGATCCAGCTTGCAAGCGGCTGCCAGGAGCGAGTGGGCTGCAGGGGGCGCTGCGTGCATGTCCATGCCTGCACACATGCATGTGGCCAGGAAAGAACCAGGCAGCCTGGAGAGCAGCTCCCAATAGGCAAGTCTATGCGGGCTGAGGGGGAATGGCGGGGGCAGATCAAGGTCTCCATGGTCAGGGAAGGAGCAGGGCAGGGGCTGGAGGCACTGCCCAACCAGGGCAGTGCATGGGGCCCTGGGGCTAGGAACAGGACAGTTACGGGTGGCTTGTCCAGTGGGCATAGGGGAGGACGGTTCCCCACCACTGCATGCCCCCTGAAGGGCAGCACGGGGGGCATGTGCCCTCCCAGAATTGTGCATGGGGTGGGAGTGGATGTGGGCTGCTTGCTGCCCTTTCCCAGGTAGCCCTACACTGCCATAGCAACACACCCTCTGCCCACCAGCAGTCGGGGTGGTGACAGTGGTATGGAATAGTGTCACCCACTGCTGCCAGGTGGGTAGGGGATGCACAGCTGGCATGGGGCTCCTCGGGGAAGGGCAGCAGGGCAAGGAGCCCTGAGCCTGCAGCAGGCAGCCCGGATCCGCCCCTCACCCCACTCTGCTCTGGTCTGGCTGTGCAGCTGGCGGGTTGGGGGGGCATGTGTCCCTCCTTCCAGTTTGGAAAAGGTGGTCACCCTATTCCTGTGTGTGGCTTTAGCTGACTGTTGCCATGTTGAATGGCTTCCCTATTCAGACCCTCCACCCTCCTGTCATGGATTCCTTCTGCTGTTCTCCTCAGGAATATTATGGTAGGTCCTGGAACCCGCTGAGACTAGAGCCAAGCCCAACATACACACATCCAGCCTCCTCCCTGAAGACTGCATGGTCCAAACAGACAAGAGGGGAGGGGAAACTGTCCAGAGAAGTGAAGTGCTAATCTGAGGCAGCACAGCTGGTCCATGGCAGAGCCCTACATAGAGCTCAGCTTTCCAAAGGCCCAGCTTTGGTCAAGAAGCTGTTGGTTGCTGAGATACTGGGGGACTAACAAACACCAGTGGTTTCCCAGCCATTTTCCTCCTCCTGCCAGATTGATTTAGTCATGCATAGATGATACGGCAGTGCAGTCCCTTGGATGTGGAGGCTGATGTGACAAATAGCGGACAAAGAGACCCCGATGATACAGTAGGTTTGTGAACTTTGTTCTTCAGAGGTGCTCACCCCCAGGGAGTTGGTGGGTGTGGGATGTGGGAGGGTACTGTGAATTCCCCTGGAGGAGTTGGCCTCTTTTCTTTTCCCTCCTGATTCATCTCCCCCTCCCTGACCTAGGGTCTGATCCAAAGCCCACTAAAGCCAACGGAAATCACTTCCTGGGCGTGAGTGGACTTTGGCTAAAGGTCCCCTCACATCCTACTGAAGTCAATGGGAGCTTTACTAATGATTTAAGCAGTGCAGGACCAGGCCTGTAAATGAACCCTGTTAATATATTCCTTAGGGGAGCTACAGATTAACAGGGGTTAATAGACAATATGATCTGTGCTCCTGTCTGCTCTTCCAATTCCTCCCCTCTGATGCCTCCAAAGTCAGGTGAAATTCTATTCACCACTGCAAAAACAACATTTGCACTCTTCATTTTTTTCTGGCAACGTCTTTGCTGCCATCTTCTGTCCTGGAGGATTCTCCCAACCCCCTTCACTACTGCACATCAGTGATTGTCCTGCATGGTGTTATACCTGGCTTATTCATGCCCCTAACCTCATTTATTATCACCTAACTCAGGGGTGGGCAATTATTTTGGGCAGAGGACCACTTACTGAGTTTTGGCAAGCCATCAAGGGCTGCATGATAGGCAGCCATGGGCAGATAAGTATTCATTTTCTAAATTTTTTAGGGGCCCCATGGGCCGGTTAGAATGGCCTGGTGGGTCACATCTGGCCCGTGGGCAGCATTTTGCCCACCCCTGAGCTAACTGGAATCATTTCAGGGGTGGTCAATTATTTTGGGCGGAGGGCCACTTAATGAGTTTTGGCAAGCCATTCAGGGCCGCATGACAGGGGCAGATAAATATTAATTTTCTTAATTTGGGGGGGGCCCTGTGGGCCAGATAGAATGGCTTGGTAGGCTGCATCTGGCCGCCAGGCTGCATTTTGCCCACCCCTGATTTACACAGAAGTCCCTTTACAAGGTTCTAGATTAAACAAAGCAAAACAAATGAGAGAGCATCCTTTTATCCTGAAGCACTTTACGGACAATTGCAGTGTGCGTATAGGACTCACTTCACTACCCACTGAAAGACAGCTGTCTCTGGGGTGAAACCTAGCAACTGTTTAATATGACGTGACCCAAGACATAAAGATTGTGATACTGAAACTTCAGGAGGAACATAGAAAGGCTGGATGCAAGGCACATGTTGGAAACTGCCAGGCGGTTAGGGCTAAGGCATCATTTTGGCAGATGGAAATGTGTTCCATGAGCAGTTTAATACACATGAGAAGCAGGCCTGCAATTTTTGGTCTCATGAAGAGGGCAGCCCTTGAGCACTGCTGTATGGCCTTGATTCAGTACTAGATCAACAGCAAGACTGACACCCTGAAGACTGCTCCAACTCACATTGCTTGACAGTACACCCCAAAAGCCCAGCAACAGTGCATCAGTGGAACACAGGGAAACCCTGGCACTCCCCCACACCATCTCCTGTACACTATTGTCTCTAGTGGGGTTGCTCTAGCCCAACCTTTGCACACCTCAGGTCAGATGGGTGGTGCCAGATTCATCTGCAGGCTGGATTTGGCTTGTGGGCTAGATCCAGAGTATAGGGCGGGTGCTATGGGGGCCTGGTCTGGCTGCAGGAACCCAAACCAGCTACTCAGTGGGGAGGAAAAGGGTAGAGCAGTCTGGCTTGGCCCCTGTTCGGTTGTGGGGGGGGATGGGCCCTGGACCTGATCCAGCCACGCAGCAATGGCCTGGGCAGGGCTGGATCTGGTTGCACGGAGCTGCTATTAGTCATCTGCTGCCAAATTTCCTGACCATGGGATCCCCACGAGCCAGATGTCATGGCTCCTTGGGCTGGATTTCGGCTCTAGACTGATGCTGGTATAACTAAGAGCAGAGCCTTGCCTGTTTTTTTTTTAATTTTAGTTGATCTGATTGTTGGGGAGAAATACCCCACGGCTAGACATTAGTATGTGGTGATATGAGACCCACTTATGAAATGGTCATTAACCCTTTCTGTCAATTAGACCCTTCTTTGTCATGTTCTTCTAGAAGCACCTTCCTTACTATCAAGGAATATTTTGATCATGTTATCTTTCTGAGGGCTCAGCTTTAGCCAACCTGAGGAGAGGAGGCAGGTTGTCACAAATTGCACTGGTTCTTGGTGGCTCGGTTATGTCAGAAATTCAGCTGGTGGTGTTCTTTATTGACTCAATAGGGCCATGTTTATTCTCCTGGTGAGGAAACGGGGCTGTGAGAAGAGCCTTCCTTTGAAGTAAGAGCTGAGTGGCTCAGCTATCCTAGACAAACACTCACGCAGCATGCCGATCGGTTTGGTAGTGTAGCTATGTAGCGTCCCATGATTTCTTCATTCAGGAAAGTTTTGGGCAGATCCTGTGTGGTAACACTGTACACAGGTAACTCCTGTGTAATGTGCCAGCCAGTGCATGTCCCAGTGGTACTCTTTGATCTAGAGAAGGCATAGCCCTCAGCTATAGAGGAAGCTCTCAGCTATGGAAACACGAGCTCTTTAGTTCTGGAGATGCCTGATCCAAACTCAGCATGTCAGCCGTAATATCAACCTCTTCACCCAAAGGGACTTGTCTGGCATTCAAAGTGCAGGAAGCTTCAGATGGGGGCTGAACTTCCTTGGTCCACAAGAAGTATGTTTAGTGAATATAAGAACATGGAGTTTAGTGTGCATTATGCTTTCCCATCTGGTACCATCCAGGGAGGATGTAAGTCTGTTACAGGCTTCACCTACAGAGCTTTGGTTGAGATAGACATTAGCTCTGGATATCCTCAGAGTATTGGCCAAGATGATGGCCACCTCAACAGCACAAGCTGCGCTCTTCTGTCTGTGGGCTATAGAATCATAGAAAATTAGGGTTGGAAGGGACCTCAGGACCAGCCCCAACTAGATCATCCCAGTCAAAGCTTTGTTTAGCTGTGTCTTAAAAAACCTCCAAAGATGGAGAGTCCACAGCCTTTCTGGGTAAACTTTTCCAGTGTTTCACCACCCTCCTGTTGCAAAGTTTTTCCTAATACCTAACTGAAACTTCCCTTGCTGCAACTTGAGACTGATCTCCTTGTTCTGTCATCTGCCACCACTGAGAACAGTCTAGCTCCATCCTCTTTTGAACCTACCCCTTCAGGTAGTTGAAGGCTGCTATTAAATCCCCTCTCAGTCTTCTCTTCTCCAGACTAAATAAGCCCAGTTCCCTCAGCCTCTCCTCACAAGTCATGTCCTCATCCCCTCATCCCCGAACCATTTTTGTTGCCCTCCAATGGACTCTCTCCAATTTGTCCACATCCTTTCTGTAGTGGGGGGC